TGCCTTCTTTGCATCACTATAAAGCAGTGCTGCGCAAGGATTTTTTTGGTAAAGACGCTGGTATCATCGGAGTGTAGTAATAATATTAATTTAATTATGGACTCGTAGTATTTTCGATGTTCAACATTATTATTTAATAATATTGATTAAAATTATAATTAAATATAATGCAGGCATGGTGAAAAATGGGACGCATTTAGAGCCCAGGTTCAACAACTAATGTTGCAACCTGCAACTGCAAAACGATTTGTTGGACCTCTGGATGAAATTGCAGGAGATTTTATGCAAAGGTAATGATAGTGGAGAAAAAAATGATAAAAACTTTTATTAATTCTTCTATATATAGTTGATCGAAATACTACTACATTAGAGGTAAATATTTATTAGTTATTTTGTTTAAACATCCGCTTGTATGAAAATTCTAGAGAATTTGCTTTCCAATATTTATATAGAATAAATTAAATCAAACTTATGTATGATTTTTCTAATATATTTAGTTACATATATAACCTATATATGAAGCTAAGTTATTATAAAAATTATGGTATGTAATGTAATAACTTCATTCGAGCAAATACGTAATATATAAAATGAATTTTGTAGAATTCATGAGATGAGAGATGGAAATCAGGAATTACCTGGAAACTTTTTAGGTGAACTATATAAATGGGCTTTAGAATGTGAGTATGAATGCATTAGTTGAATACATTTTAAATTAAAGTTTTCGAGCTTCAACTGAAAGCACGTATAACGCTCATGGCATATATAATAAAGCTTTTTATACTAAACCAGCACATATTAAAAATGTTGGTTCACGTTAAACAATAGATCATCACGACTGTATTATAAATGGAACTTTATTATGCAAACTAGGTATTGTTCAAAATAATAATTCATTTTTTAATTTAGCAATTGGACGGGTAGCATTAGATACAAGACTAGGATGCTTATCAAGGGATTTGGAACCAAATTCAGAACCACAAAGAATTATAAGCGCTATAAACACATTCTTCTGGAACGTTGCTGAAGTGGAGCTTCGAGTACCTCTTTGGAGAATTTATCCCACGAAGAGTTATAGGAAATATATAGGAGCTTTGGATGAGTTCAGAGAGTAAGTGCTTTAGAATAGGTTTTTATATCGGGATTATAGATTATAGTTCTTTTTATCATTTACGTAAATCATACAGTCAATGTATGCTTAACTATAGGACCAGCAGCACATTATATATAATATAATAGAACATTAGGTTCTGTTAACTTGATAGCATAACATTCCGAATGCATTAAAATCACATTAAGCTATTTGCAAACACTACAGATTGTGCATGAAGTACATATCGATAGCGATGGAAAATATGGACAAATCGAAAGCCTCTGGTAATTACTCTATAGTTCAGAAAATCCTAAACGAGACATCAAATCCAAAATTGGCTGCTGTTTTGGCACTTGATCTCCTACTGGTGGGCGTAGATACGGTAAGAAATAATAATGATTTATATTATATGTACACAATAGCATTTTAATATATAAAGTTCAATTATTTTTGAAAACATATCTATATGTTTTTATATAAATTACAGTGACTTATCTCAGTTATATTTCCTCTAGCCATATGTATTTGGGCTTTTAATTCAACACCATGAATTTCCTATATAAATAAGCAATTGGGGACTTTGCAAGCAAATATATGTCTCCATAACTAATTTTAATAACCTGCCCTCGAGGTTATTTAACCATGTTATAAATTGATCGTTATCTTATTCATATGTGTTCGCCTTTATATATTAATAACGCTTTCAAATCGAACCCCCGTAAAGCTCGTAAAGTTGCTTCATTATCGTACTTCGTAATTAATTATGAATATTCACGCGAGAAAATCATAGATAAAGTTGTTTCGTTAGTATCGATTTTTGGGGAAATATAATTTAATAATATATTTGTCCGACACGCCTATCTAATGAGTTTGTGTATATAAGGATTTAGTGAATGTCGAACGAGGTGAAAAAAATTCCGTGATATAATTGTTTGTTTCTAAAAATCATTATTTTTCTTCGTTGTAAAAAGAAAAGTAGAAAATTAATTGCAGATAAAACTGTTACAATCAACACTACAGTTGACTAAAAATATTGGCAGTAGCATAATATTGGAAGATTATAAATATAAAAATTTATGTTCGAATAATATTACTAGTTTAATAGATATTTATTCATTTCCTGGATTATTACTAATAAAATAAATAATTCGAAAACATATTTATATTAATTTAAAACATTAATCGAAACGATAATATAAGTATAATTTTCACATGGGCCGCGGTATCTTTATTAGATAATTACGTTAAAGATGTATCAAAGAAACATAATGTAATAAAAAATTTTTTTTGCCAAAGTTCTTGGAAAAACACTATGTTTCATGTCATACATATATGGTGGACATGCCCTTATTAAAACTTTTTTTTCCTTCTACCGAATCGCATATGTCAGACAAATATGTCAGATATGGCTTATGTAGAAATTCTTAGCGTCAGACACATATGACTGACGTAACAATTAACGGGTTGAAGTTAAAGTTTTTAAAAAACCAAATAAAATGCAGCGATCAAAAAATATTTTTGTGTTTATATATAACAGTCAATGTACCGAATTAAACTATATTTATAAAAGGTATGTATCTCAGCATCCAGCTAAAAATATACAATAATGAGTATAAAATTAATAACACATTTTTAATCAAATTCCACGTAGCAATCAGAAAAAAAGACTAGTACAATTATTGTGAAGAAAAAGCATCTTAAACATCTTAAACATGTTTAAGGCATTTTCTCCAATACAATTGTATTAACGCTTTTCCTGAGCAAGCAGATTCTGATTAGAATTTTGTCATCATTAATAATATTATACTTATTCTAGTATAATTTTACCTGAATCATAAGATACATATAGTTCTTGAAACGTACAGCTTAAAATAAATTTTATATTTTATTTCAAAGCAGTCGTTATTCAATTATTGCAATCTTATGTTTCAACATGAAACACACACGTGTTCGCACAAGGTGTATTAAAAAAGTAATGTAATTTGAACAAAAAATTGTCATTTTTCAATTTATTTTTCTAGCTCTTCAGATTTAAGTCAAAAATACCATATATATGTATTTGGGTGGTCCTTAAAATGGTCATTTTCGAATTTTCTTGCTCCCATGGGCTCAAATGGTTCCAAATTGATAAAAAACAATTCTCTGAAAGTTTTAAGTCTTAATATTACCGTTTAGATAGAGTATTCGTATGGAAAGAGCATGGAAAAAATTTTAAAATTAAAAAAAAAGTGTTTTTGGTATAACTTAGCGATAAATGAATAAGTTTTATTCATTCATTTGTTCGCTAAATTACATCTAAAAAGCATTTTTAAAATTTAAAAAAAAATTCTATGCTATTTCCATACAAAACTTTGATTGAATTGCGCTCTAAGAGCAAAAAACTTTCAGAGAATTGTTTTTTATCTATTTGGAACTAATGTTTTTCAGGTGTAATTTAGCGAACAAATGAATGAATAAACTCATTCATTATAGCTAAGTTATACCTAAAACATTTTTTTTTAATTTTCAAAAAATTTTCCATGCTCTTTCTATACGAAGTTTGATTGAATTGCGCTCTATCTAAACGTTAATATTCAGAGCTAAAACTTTCAGAATTGTTTTTTTATCAATGTCATTTGAGCCCCTGGGAGCAAGGAAATTCGAAAATGACCATTTTAAGGACCACCCTAATATATATACATGTATATATATATATATATATATATATTTATATATACAAACGAAAACTATCCTTTATGTCATCTGATACCATGTACGATGTACATAAACCGCTATCATTTATACCAAATGCCATCGACCTTTTTCCAAATTCTCCATCGTCACGAATTTTTCATGTATCATATTATTTCACAAAGTACATATACGTTATCGGTCGATGTTTTAGCCATTAATTCAACCTGGTCTTTTCATATTCAGACATCTGTAGCCATGACTACGACCATATATCAACTATCACAGAACCAGGAGAAGCAAAGGAGACTACGCGATGAATTGAAATCCATATTACCCACACCGGGCACCCCGATCGATGTTCAGGCTTTGGAAAAGATGCAGTATCTGAAAGCCTGCATCAAAGAGGCTTTGAGGTATGTTTAGGGTAGACCAGAAGGATACGATAGTCGATGTAAAATTATTTTACATCGAATATGAGAAAAATTTAAGAAATATAGATAAAAACAACGAATTAGTCAAAAGACGAATGCACTACATTTTCACCATGGTCATTTGGGCACATCTACGTTTTTAAGTTGGAAACACTACTTTCGTTCATAATAATCTAGGGTATAGAATACTAAGTATAAGATGTTGACCATGCGAAAACAAGTGTTTCGAATTTATGGAAAATGTTTCGTGAAAAGTGAAAAGTTGTTTCATTATATCATGTGTTCCATGATACTCATTAATTGTGCTACACAAATTAATTTCTAGATCTTTTGTATGCATAGACAAATTATTTGGAATGTGTAAAATTAATTCGCTAGTTTCGTTAAAGTATTTAACCCTTTCGATTCGGATGCCGCCGTATTGTATTACTCCAATGTACGAGTGGAAAGGGCCTTATGCTAATTTTCATGAAGTTGTGATAAATGTTGATACACCTTATACTCAGTATTTAATATCCTATGTTTTTATGAATAAGAGTACAGTCAATCAACATGTTTCCAATCAAAAAAAGTACTTGTGCTCTCAAACGACCATGATCAAAAAGTTGTTGCAAAAGTTCTTGTCAGAAAGCCTGGGATTGTAATTAGAGCAATTTCATAATGAAACGATGCATCTCCTATATATCCAACATGTTTTACATATTCAGATATTTACTTAAAGAGCATCATCTACAAATTCTGTTTCTATCTATAAAGCAAAAAGGTTTCTTTTTTCCAACGTCTATACCAATAATATTCATTTTTATTTTTTTCCTTGATTAAATAAAATAGGTATCTATTCTTTTATAAACAAGCTCTTGTCAATTATTTATGATAAGAGAAATTTATTACTAGGGGTGAATACTAGTAGCAAAATATAATAATTCATTCAAATATAATTCTATTCTAGCTATGATATGTAAGCACCTGGAAATAGAACAAAATTTTCATTCCACGTTTTCCTTCAACGTCATTGCATATAGTAAATTTTAGTAGAAAAAATGACAATTTACACCAAAATATTATTTCAAGCTTTGATATGTCTCTGAAAATAGAATGAAATTTCCATTTCGCATTTTTCTTCATCGTGCGGAAAAATACAACCCATCCGGTTGCAAAAATAAATTCAGGCCGCAAAAACTATTTTCTGTCCTATATATAACATATATATGTGTAAAACTTTAACAAAATGAAAATTATGACTTTTGGAAAAAATATTGTCAAATAAAGTAACAAATTTTTCATTTCCTAGATTTCTTATATAGAGCAATGTTGAGAATGGATAAAAAATGTTCTTAATCTTATCGTAAAATAATGGCACGTACATGGTTAAAATTTTCATAAACGCTTCCCAAATGATTAAACACAAAAATAATTATTTTTTGTTTGGAACAAACTAGTTTAATATTACTAATTATAAATTTACGTTAAATTTTAAAATGTAATATTTTGAATTAAAAATTTCCCATAAATCTTGCTAAGATAATGTGCAACTGGATATCAAAGAATAAGAAATTCGACACAAAAAGCCACATGTAATATTCAAGAATAGATATTTATTTATAGCGTCCCAGTAATGACTTGTAAATGATCTTTTTCGAACTCCTTATCGATATAATGAGATTTTTCCCACCTGAATCGAAGAGTACTTGTATTCCTAATGTACAAGATGCTATCTATAAGTAGAAGGCGAAAAAACGAGTGAGATGTATAATATAAGACGTTGGCTGCTATTCTATTTAACTTTTTATCGACTTGTGACGTATTCTGCAGTCTGGCTTGTTTTAGTATCGTTTTTATAGGATTTTTTGCAACGATATGATAATATAGTGCCTAATGAATAGATAACAATAGACATAAACTTAATTAATGCTACAAAAAAGTACTTAACACAAAAAATAAAATTAACTTACGGGTGTACTCACAATTACGTGTAACAAATTACATTTTTGAAAGAAAGATAGCCTATATCTGCTAAAAAAAAAATGATTGAAAGTAATAATGGAAACTTTATATATATATATATATATATATATATATATATAATTATATTATCATATTATTTATTTCTATAGAATGAAGCCTGTTATTCTGGGAAATGGCAGAAGCTTGCAGTCAGAAGCAGTCGTAGGCGGATACAAAGTTCCAAAAGGCGTAAGTGATTCTATTTATTCCACCTATATTTTAATTAATTCTCAACTTCACATGCTGATCAAATATTACAATTATAATAGAAACTCGTCACAACAACAATTTTGTTCAGAAATGCTCACGTTAATATTTAATCGAAGGAAATTTAACAATGTGCTTCAAAATTATTTACCAGAGTAAGAGACTTTGTGTAGCAATTTTCCAATTAGTAAAATAAAGCTGACCGTCGGACTTTCTTAGAAGTCGTTTACAGTAATGGCCATGAGAGTAAATATTAATTCAATTCTGTGCTTAGACAACGAAACGAGAGCTTTCAAGCTCGTAATAATCAGAGAGCTGAAGGAGAAAGCAAGCTTTATCACTCTGTACAAATGATATGCATTTTCTAGGTTATTATTCATTATTGCTCCTGAAATCTTAAACAATAAGATATTAAAATATAATTTATGGAACATCAAATATTTCTACTTCAACCAAATGTTTTATAATTCTGTGATACTATAATAATATGTGATCAATTAATTGTTTCATAAATCATAAGAGTTGATACAAATGCTTCAATAAGCCATTTGACATATATACATAATACTCCAAAAAGATTCTTAGATGGAGCGCATATCTTACAATAAAATTAAGGGGCTAATTCTGCCGTAAAATACACTAATGTTATGCCAAGGATATGTTACGCTGCTTTTTTTCATATAAAATGGTACTAAAAACTGACAAAATGCTATGTGGTTGCTGTGCAGTTAAGCTTTTTAGATATAAAATGTACAAACGCCATTTACTTGTATGAGTGAAGTTATATTTTATGTGTAAAACAATTGATGGCACAACAAATACATAGCATTTTGCCACTTTATAGTACAATTCTATATGAAAAAAAAACGCAGAGTAACATAGGCTTGCCATAACATTGGTCTATTTTAGGACAGAATTAGCCCCTAAATTACTTTTTATAATATCCAATATATACAGCAAATTTAGTAATCCTTCTTTCGGAAAACAAATCATTCAATCAACCCAGAAGTAATTTAATCAAATTTTGGTTGCTTTATAAAAATATTCATCCAAAACACAATCTCTTGATAAGTTTATTCTTATTTGATAAAACCAGTTTCAATTGAAACCTTATTAAATAAAATATATAAATATTTTGGTTTTTGATACAATGAGTGTTTTTTCGTTCTAATGTAAGCTAAACATCCACCAGTGTTTCGTCTATGAATATATACAGGCGCCCATTTAAACTTACCCGTTACGGCAATAAATTATTCAAAGAAAGGCCGTTTTGTGCGGATTGGGTGTTGCTAAAAGGACTGAAGAACTTGTACTTCGGGTTATCTCTGGGCAAATGTGGGCGATTCTATTCGATACGCACACATTACTACTTATTTTCATTTGCGCACACAGCAAGGCGCTCAGAATCCGTAGGATAAACAAGTTGAAATAGACATGTGTTACAGTGTTCGGCTTGGGAATATGGAAATGATATAGAATTATTTTATTTATAGTAAAATTATTCAGAAAACGCATTTTCAAATTACTTGACATATTGCAGTTCAAAATTTTCCTTCGTGATAGAAATAGACAAATAATTGCGAAAACAAATATCAATTCTGATGAAATATTTTGATATATTGAGCAATCATGACAGTTAGAATTTTATCGAAAATTTATTAGTTCTCTTTATTCGAAAGATTTGACGTCAACCAGCACATGTATATAATTTTAAAAAAAAATCCTAACTTGATCGTACATGCTTTAGGTAGAAGGTTATCTGAACGTGTAACCAATATAGGACGGATATTAATTCATAATAATAAAAAAATAATTCTTTTTGTGACACATATCCTAGTTTAGCATACTATATACTATATACTAAATGTATAATATTATTGGCGACATCCGTTTGGCAGCCTGTGTGCACGAGTGTAGCCTACACCTGCTTCAGTTTTTATCACTGTGCGAAAGATTAAAGAGAATTCTAATTTATTATTTAGTGTAATTTGTTTAAGTTTTGAATGAATTTTTATTGATAATTATTAAAAAAATCTTAATTGGGCGGGTTGTTGGCTCGTACAGCAGCGTCACACGTGCGGAAAATACACTAAAATTTCACTGCCTAAAACAGTAACATGGCTGTAATCGTGTTGTAGCCATTAAATAAATATATAAAAATGTCACAGTTATTAACGCTTAAGATAATACATATATATAGCTCCTACCTACATAGTAAAATAAACAGGTCGCCTTATAATTAGACCAAGTCCAGCGAATCGAATGTTGCATTGATTTTATCACTCTGCTCAATCACTAAATTTACACTCGGAAGTGTTTACGAAATGTTTATTAAATTATGAATTATGTTAGATAACAAAGTAAGAAATCAAACTAAATTAACAAAAACGCAATTTTGCTAAACAACAATTAATACTATCAATCAAACTTTGGTAACAAAAAATATGATTTTACAAAGTGGCACCTAGTACCGGACATTTCAAAATAACCAGCATTGAACACATATGTAGCCATCTGCATAATCTCGAATGTCTTCACATTTGTGTTTGACGAATATTCTTAGATATTGCAAAAAAATCACTAATTATCCACTCAGGTGAGTCTTGACGCGTGCCCCCCGCAACCCTTTCACTTCTATTTTGAAATAAAAAGATTTATACTCGCTTAAAAAATACGTGTTAAATAGAGTGTCCGGCTTTAGGTGCCGTTCGGGGTTATGGGACTTCCCCCATAACCTAATTTCTAAGTTAGAAAACACGTTCGAAAAATTCATATAAATTAAAAAATCTTAAAATAGTTTGTGTAACAAATACTTGGGTGAGTTAATGAGTTAATGGCCCAGGGTCATACCTGCAAAAAATACTCTCGCTAGCTAAATTTTACCATAGCCTTAGATGTAAAAATGTCGCAGTTATTAATTAAAGCTTTTAAAATTAGATATTGTTCTACGAGTAATCCGTTTAAGGTTTTGAACAGGTATTATTTCTAGACCACAATTATAAGTCTTTTTGAATAAAATTTAATGCGCCTGAAGTGGAAGCTACATATGAAGTGTCAATAGATAGATATATTTCATAAATAAAACTTCATTATATTTGTGTTTATTGGAACTGGATAGACCCAAAGTATAAACAATATTAGTTGAAAATTCCTTGAGAATACCAATAAGAACTAAGATAGGCCAAGTAAATTTTTTATTAAGTCTTCCCACGATTCCTCTGACCATAAAACTAAGCATAAATAGTGTCGAACCACAAAAAGCGAATAGAGCCAAAACTGGAACGCATCCTTAGGTCACGCTAAATCATAAATTCTCCTCAGCTGCTTTTGCAGAAGATAAACTAGCGTTTATTCCATTGTTCGTACGTGCGCGAGCGCTTCATACACTAGTATTGTAGGAAAATCTACTATTCCCGAGGCATATAAAGTTTTGGCCGACTTTTTACAATGAATTACATGTGCACGTATGTTCGGGATGTCCGTAAAAGATTCATATTTTCCATCTGAAATACAACTTGCAACTTTATTTCATGCCATTGTATGTGAAAGTTTGAAATAAAATAGTTGGAAGAGAAAGATTGATGAATGCTGCAAGTTACCTTTCAAGAAAAATTTAAGTTTTACTATGAAGTGTGAAAAGAAAATTATTTTATTGATGGCCATGTGGTAAATGTTGTGAAAATAAATATTTGTAAGAGCGGAGATGTCGGAAACACTCGCAACAAAAATAACAATATTAATAGATTTATAAAATGTATTATAAGTAATTGAAGAATAAATATTCTATATGAAGATTTATAAAGACAAAAAATAAGAATAATATGTATATAAATATAGATTAAAAGCAGATTTACTGATCAAAAATGAAAATGCTGATCAACATAGTCATCTTTTTAGGCAAGCTTAAAAAGTCATTATTTATCTCCTTAAAAGTACCATATCTATCAATTAATATCAAATATACCAATTATTAATAATTATATTGGTTTATATTAGCTTGAGGAAGGATTTTTTTGCAATATCTAAGAATATTCGTCAAACACAAATATGCAGACATTCCAGAATCTATCTATCAATTAATATCTATCAATTAATATCAAATATACCAATTATTAATTATTATATTGGATTAGATTAGCATGGTGAAAGGATTTTTTTGCAATATCTAAGAATATTCGTCAAACACAAATGTGAAGATGGCTACATATGTGTTCAATGCTGGTTATTTTGAAATGTCCGGTACTAGGTGCCACTAAAGTTTGATGGATAGTATTAATTATTGTTTAGCAAAGATTGCGTTTTTGTTAATTTAGTTTGATTTCTAACTTTGTTATCTAACATAAATCATAATTTAATAAACATTTCGTAAAATATTTTTTGGTTTATTTATAAATAACCTTAGGTGTCCGGCACTCGGAGACTTTTCCCTACTTATAGTAGGGGTAATTTAATTTTTGTTACAAATTATTCGTTTTATTACAAACTACCTGAATTCATAATATTATATTCGTTGCAAAAATATTTTGACTATATCTGCTTATAAGACTCCTGTCAAGTAACAATGAACATAAATCTCTTCCCATTAGACCCATGTGATTTTCCCTCACTACGTTGTGAGCAATGAGGAGAGGTATTTCAAAGAACCAGAACAATTTAGGCCCGAGCGATGGTTGAAGGCCAGGAATGCATGCCTCACGCCGACAGGAGGCCAGGACGGAGGATCAAATACATCCTTTCGTTTCGCTTCCGTTTGGATATGGAAGGAGGACTTGCTTGGGCAGAAGATTTGCGGAAGCGGAATTACAAATATTATTAGCAAAGGTAAGTAAAATAATTAAAATCCTGATTAATTTAATAATTTTTGATTAGTAATAAAATTGAACTTAGATTAATCTCAACACGTTCGCGGACTGGAAAAGCTTCGGTACAAAAATTGAGTCATTTAATTTTAAATTGGATGTGATATCCAAATTTGATTCGGAATCAAGGGTAGTCAGATTAACACATTTAATCGCTAGTATCTTATACGTTGTATGCTATAGCATTCACGTCAAGTATTACCCTTCTATTTTATGGACATTGCTTGCCCAAGCTCATTAGTTGCTACAGAAAAAGGCAAGGTAATACGAAAATACCTAAAGAATCTGTCATAACCATGATAGTCTAGTTCGTATAATTATAGAAACGTAATTTAATTTAAATTAAATTCTAAATAATTGACTTTAAAATTTGAATGCTATTGCATTCATGTCATTCTGCAGCACAATTAAAATGAATGCTATAGTGCAAATATTCTAATGAAGAGATAAATATTTCTATGATGTTTACATAAAAGATTTTAAATTTTTATAAAATATGTGGTATAGAAAGAAACAGTTATCAAGAGCAACTGAAAATCAATATTCAGTTCTTGCATATTCGTATATAGTTATTATAATAAAATTTTATTTATTAAACAAGGTTTTGGATTATCAATATTTGCTCGAAAACTATTGGTATTTGTTAAGTAATTGTATGAAAAACATTCAGAAGTAATCAGTAATATTTTGAAGTTACTTACTAATACAAGATTTTAAAAATTTGAATGGCTCGATTTGTGAATCCTCACCGTACAATAATGTAAAATCTTACAGAAAATACTACACAAGATCATAATAGGTATCAAAATCACTAATTATCATAATAAGTATCAAGAAGTTATTTACTCAATATTATGTAATAAAATTACAGTAATCAATTAACACGTAACTAGAAAAAGCTCGAGCTTTTAAGCTTTCAGATTCCAAAAATTCATTATGAACATCGAAGAAAAAACGCCAATTTCTATAGCACAAGAGTAGTATTTACTCGATAATCTGTGTTAAAATTATAGTAATCAATTAATACGTAACTAGAAAGAGCTCGAGCTTTTGAGCTCAGCTTTCAGAAAGTCATTATGAATATCGAAGAAAAAACGGAAATTTCTATAGAACAAGTGTAGCTCACAAAGTTTTTCACTCAATATTCTGTATTAAAATTACAATAATCAATTAATGCGTAACTAGAAACAGCTCGAGCTTTTGAGCTTTCAGCTTTCAGAAATTCATTATGAATATCGAAGAATAAACGGCAAATTTCTATAGCACAAGTGTAGCTTTATGAACGTAATATAATAAGTTTACCATATTTTATTTTTAATTATATAACGATTTTATTAAAAAATATTCCATTAAATGGAGGAATGTTGAAGCCATATAAGCACTCTATTTCAATCGAATTAAAATATTAAAATTAAACCCTGCAATATCCATTTGTAGCATTATGTGTCACTATAATACTAGTATTAATTATTTTAACATAATATTATATTTTATCTCATCTGGTTGTTTCATTTCAGATTTTCCGAAAATATGACGTCCAGTACAACTACGGACAATTAACATACAAAGTATCCCCTACATACATTCCTGTGGAGCCATTGAAATTCAAATTAACTGAATTAAGTTAGAAATTTCGCGCATATTAAATTATTTAATTACATAGAGTGCAATAATTCACTTAGATATTATATATCATGTTAGGTCGTAATTTATTATTATATTTAACATCATACTCATTTTAGGAAAAATATTTGCAAGCATATTGCTTGTATTTATTGTGTAAACATTTTGGATCATTAGAAATGAGAATTTTCAAAAATGTAAAATTTAGATTTATCATTATTATTTTAATGAGAATAGAGGTAATGATTTAGATATTGAAAAAATTTAGGTATTGCCATTAGTCAATAAATTATTCATAAAACATAAATCATCAACATCCAATGCCATTCTATTATTAATTTACTGTAAATATTGTAAAAAATGTGCAATAAAAATATAATAATAACTTAAAAAATTATTCATCTATTATATAAACCTCTTAGTATTACATACTAAAGTAAAATAAAAGCAAATATCATATATTTGAAAGTAATTCATATGAAAAACAAATCAATAGCAAGAAATATTGGTCTACGCAAATGTTCATTAAATAAGCTTCAATACTTAAATTAAATAATTACAGTTTTATATTTTTTCCCGATATAGGTAAATATTAATCTCATATTATAAGAAAATAAAATAAAATAAAAAAGGTAACGAATTTAGTAGAAAATGATGTTTTTTCAAATAAATCGAAGCAGCAAAAATTATTTAGAATTATTATCATCAAAACTATTTATTTGCTAATAATATACCAAATTCAGATATCGGGTATCTGAAGTTTAATCTATAAAATAATAAAATTAAGTACAACATCCAAAATACGTAATGAAGTCAATTCTTTTACTATACGGAACTATAATTCGTAGAATCCTATAAATATTATTATAGATGAAAAACGATCTAGATTCATAAAGCACAAAATCTGTATAGGTATTTATTTAGAATATAAATATTTAAAATAAAATTCGACGTATCGTTATATTGAAATGTCATAAACAGATATTTGCTTACGAGTTGCTACGGGCAAAATCTACGACTGATGTGCAGCAACCAGTATCTCATATGAGATTAACTCATTGTATTATACAATGTCACAAATGTACCTGATATCATACACATATAATATTGTTGTAATAAATATTATACATCAAATTTATTTATGCCTCGATTTTCAGGCACAATTACCTTTAATATATCGAAAAAAAACCGAATTTTTCTACTTCAAAAGAGACACTTTACAATTTATTTTTCAAGGCAATCAATAGATCTGCTACCCAAAATGATCATATTTCATATTACAATTCTGAATCAAAAAAATATGCATAGATAAACTTGATGTAAAATAAACCACCAAAAATTGAGTAAAACTTTGAGATTCAAATATATTTTATGAGGTAATAAGTTCTGAAACAAATAAATATATGAATGCATATATCCAAAAATTGTGGATTTTTCATTCCATTTCGCATTTTCAAAAACTTTCACATAGTGTCTTTTCTTATACTTAATCATGAAACATTTACATATTTGTCGAATAAACACATTTAGAAGTTTTACCATCAATAGTTCATCCAAAGAAATAAATACTCCTGACTATACACTGAATTCGAGCGAAAATACTCGTAGGAAATTTAGACATTTGTTTAGGAAAATTGCACTTGTTAATGAACAGTTAATTTTAAAATTAATTATAATAAATAAATTACATATTAATTACGTCAAAATAAACATGTTTATATTCTAATCATCGACATCACAAACGTCTAAATAATAATGATAATATTAATTACATAATTTATTCATTTGAATTTGAATTTTATCAAAGTATATTTAGCAAGCAGTTATAGTAGAAATGAATTACTTGTAATAAAGCTATAACTCTGATAATAAACCTGTAACTTTTCTATAAAAATATTTGAAATAAAATGAAATTAACTAAAAGTTTTATTTTAGAGGATGATGATATCTTTGAATATACTTCATAAGCATTTAAATTTAAGTATCTAAAGGCGGGCTGAATCGTAAATGAAAGACTTGTTAAATATTGAAGCTATCTATAACTGTTCTAAATGAAATAATCTAAATGAAATTATGAAATTAAGCAAAAGTTCAAGATAAAATTTTATCGATAAAAATATATTAAATATTTTCCCAAATTTAAAATTATGACCGAGATGCACAAAATACTGCCAACGCTCTGATGTTTATTCTACAAAATTTCATAAATTAACTAAAAATTTATCAAGATTATTATTATTAAGATTAACCAAATAATTTATATTTATTGCTACAGAATTCAACAATTGTTGTATATATGAAATTTCAAGACGAATGTATTAAATTGAGCCTTAGTTACTTAGATATTAAAGAAATATTTAAAAATCTGGCAACAGGAAAAATGTATCACGGATTAAATCTAAATCAATCAAAATTTTGTTTTAATGTTAAAAGATTATTAATAAGAGTTTTAATGTTATAAGATTATTAATAACACTTCATTTATAATGAATGAAATCTATACTTGCAAATTTATAAAAAAAAAACAATCAATTTAACGACATTGTTATGGTATGTGGAATGTTAAAGTAGTTTTTTTTAACTAAATCCCTAAAAACAGTTCTTTTCTTTTTCACATATAAACGTTTTCTAACTAAAACGTAGAATTAATTTGAGCTTTATTGCTATTATATAAAGTTCATATTAAATTACAAGCACTCACTGTATACTCCTCCGAAACGATTATTCGGATTTTGATAAATCTTTCTGAAGTTTGTTAAGGAAATTTTCTAGGATATATGTGATTATAAAGTACTGCGATGTATGTGCAATACTGTAGAAATAAATAAAAAAAAAATGCAAAAAACGACATGTCATTGTTTGCATTGAAAACAAATGAAAACTATCATCTTAAGTAACAAATGAAAACTATCATCTTAAGTAACAAATGAAAACTATCAGATTAAGTAAAATTAAAATTAAAGTGTGATTTTGTAGTATTGTATGAGATTTTATTGTTACTCGAACCCAAATAAAACAGTAAATAAAAAAACTCTGCATTTAATATAATTCCTAATAAAATTTTAGTCGGCCCAAAACTTAATAACTTAGAATATTAAATTTACACTTTTACTCAAACATATCATAAACATGTCCTTCTTGCATTTATACTGAAAATATGCTAATTCTCTATTCAACAGAACCAAAGTAAAATCTTAAATACATATTTGTATTTTTTTGACTTTATGGATCAAGAATAAGAGAAAAAAATATCTTTGAGTATCTAATGATGTTTTACTCAATTTTCGATAATAAATATTTCCTACATCTAATAAAAAATAATTTCCACTTACTATTTAGCCGAGTCGTTCAATTGGTATTCATTGGACCGTCCAAAGCAATTCTGTACCCCGCTGTCGGACCAAAGTCGCTTCATAGCTGCTAAAAGTTCCTCGGAAAATGCTTCTGTATCCTCCATGCGTTGGATTACGTCAAAGACCATTTTGCCGTCCGTCTGTTAACACAACGATAAATTTAAGTGCCGAATAAACATTCGATATTAGTTTAATATCAAAATACAGAAGATACCATGCCAAAATATGCTGGGACAAACTCCTGCAGATTATTTGGATATGGTAGTAAAGGTCAAGTTTAAAAAAAAACTGGGGGTACAACATACCACACATCAAAATTCTTACGCAACACTAGATAATGAACAAAATCATATCAAAAATAATAAAATATTGTGTGCTATTTAATGCAAAAAGAGTACTAAAATCAACAATTTATTAGAATTGAGATGTAAGAATAATAATTAGATTCAATGCTTTTGGTTTAGTTTCAATCAAACTATTTAAATAAAACTTTAAACCTTTTATCTACCCCTGCGGGGGCAACTTGACTGCCATAGCGGTCAAATAACTTCTGTAAATAATTACATAAATAAATTAAATCAGTGATAAAAATCATAATTATAATTACATAAATAAACTATAAAAAATGTTCTAAACCATTTAGATAAGCGTGCATATTCATTTTTATCACATATTTATGACCATTGGAATAATTAGTTTTGAATCTAGTCATATAAGCAAAAGTATCTATAAATTGCATATATATATATATATATATATATATATATATATATATATATATATACTAGCAAACCCGGCAAACTCCGTTTCACCACCAGATGGTTTCATTTTATTTAACATTTCGTTTGGTGATTAAAAGATGAAGATTTTTTTTTGTTTTATATTTGAAAACAAAAAAAATTATTTCATTTCACAACAGTAATGAATTTATTTCGATTACATAAATGACATACATAAATATATATGCCTCATATTTAGCGATTTTTATTTAAATATTGGTGATAATTTTGTAATAATTCAATTCCAATAATTACTATTATATATTATTAATTATTATACTCTCAGAAGTATTTCAAGGCTCGTCCGTGGTTTAGTAGAGCTATAGGATTTGAATCAGTGGTTCAAGTTTTACACCCGCTTTTCGAAGCCTGATGTCAAGTAGTGTGACATAAACTTTTATTTGGAAATGTAGATAGTAATATGTTTCCAAGTGAAAATACATAGTCTATTACAGAAATACATACATATCTATTACAGAAATTGTAATAATTGTTATTTAAAAGGCATTCAAAACTTAGGGAGTCCATAACGTTCCTAACTTTTTATAGAATTATAAGCCAAAGGTGGACGTCTCTTTATTTGATATAGGAATTTTCATCATTACAATTTCCCTAACTCTAATGACTTCTAATTTGATGCAGAAAAACCAAAGGCTATTTCCATGTGAAAACATATTTCATATTTTAAAATGTATGAATAAATAATATATGTATCGGCTGAATCCTTCTGGCTACTACCTCAAAAATACACCATTATTATCTTATAGAGAAAGTTCGACGTTTATATTATGATTATAAAAGAGGCCATCAAAACAATGTGGAGAAATGTTTTGGTAGCATGAATATGATAATAATGTTATCATAAGATTGCAAATATTATTTACAAGTTAAAACAAAAACATTGTGCAAAATACGCGATAAACATAAACATAATGCCT